GGCCTCGACGTCTTCCAGAGGAAGTTTTCCCCTGAAGGCAGAGCTGAGATAGCTATCGCATAAATAAGGCCTTCGATCTCAGTAAGACAAAGGATTTCGCCATTCATTATGTACAGGACGAACAATGGCAGGGAACAAAAAGGAAAAAGTTTTATTGCAATTAAGACAAATGGGCGGAAGGACCTGCAAGATGTTTTGGAATGATCTTCGGCACCGCGACTGGGCACTCTGAGCAGACCTGCAGTATTTTGCGGTATGTCCGAAGTGCCAAACAATTTTTGACACTGCTGGGGTGTAGGAACCACATTTACGGACACATAGCGCGCATGTTCTGCGATATAAACGGAGGACGGGAGGTCAAGGCCAGTCAAAGGTTGAGCAAGTGATGTTTTACTGGGTAAAGCACATATGCCTGCGACCCGTGGCAAGGACATATATCCGCACTGAGAATACGGAAAGTCCAGAAGGCGCTAATTTGCCCTAAAATATCATCACTGCCAAATTATAAAATTACACTGTTTTTTACAAATAAATGGTACTTGCGAAGACCTCCGTATTTTTACAAGAATTGAGAGTAGAGTGCTTGTGACTGTGGATAGGAGCGTTATCATGGAAGCTAGGAAAGATTCATCGAGCTTGATCTGCATTCTGAGCTGTAAACAATGCGGCCCCACCGCTCTGAAGAGCGTTGAAGGATATATTTTGGCACAACATGTTGTAAAGGAACTTTACAATACTGTGGTCTGAAAGATAATCAGTTGGAGATGTTGTTGTATGGAAAGAATTTTGGTTCTATGCGTACTTGTTAAACTTGTGTGCGTAGAGGAAGTGCGGTGTTATGTAGGTCGTTTATGGGTTGATTGAGCAGAAATTGAAGGACGTTGTCAGCAAAATGGTTGGAATGTTTCAGGCGTAGTAACACGGCGCGGCACGACTGAGGCAGGTGGGCAATCTGATAAACCATCACACGTATTGGAAGGGAAGACTGGATGCATAAAGGGCATGCAAGAGGCAGTGGCACTAGAAGAAAAGTTGGAGCCTTGGACACATGGAGCAGGGGACAGTTGTCACAGCGGACGGAGTACAGGGGTATGGTTAAAGTGTGCAAAGCCAGGTCAGTAAAAGGATGCAGTACCATAAAGGGGCAATGGGAGGAGGTTGGTCATTGGAAGGAAGACTCCATGATAATGGTATTCATTAAGGGAGGGAAAAAGGAACAGAGAAAAAAAAAAAGAAGGAAGAGAGAGAGAGAGAGAGAGAGAGAGGTAGAGAGAGAGAGACAGTGAGAGAGGATAGAGAGAGAGAGAAAGAGAAATAGGGGAAAGACGGTCAAAGAACAGTGAGAAAGAAACGATGAGAAAAGAGAGAGAAAGATGAGAAGAGAGAAAGAGAGAAAGAGAGAAAGAAGAGATAGAAGAGAAAGAGAACGGATAAAGAGAAAGAGAGAAAAAGAGAGAAAGATGGCACATGGAGGAAAGAAAGAGTAGGAGATTGATGAGGGGAGGGGGGGAGGAAAGTGTGGAATAAAGGGGGTGGGGGGGGGAAAATTGTCTCGAGAAAGACGTGCGAAGACGGAGGAAAGACTAGTGAGAAAGAGTACGGAGAATGAATTGAGAATTGGAGGAATGAGAATGGTCGAGTCGAGAAAGAGAGAAAGATGGGAGACGACCCACCCAGCAGCGCCCTTGAGTGGAAATTGAGGAAAGAGAGAAAGACGAGAGAGAGAGAGAGAGAGAGAGAAGAGAGAAAGAGAGAGAAAGAGAATGAAAGAGAAAGAAAGAAGAGAAGAGGAAAGAAAAGAGGAAGAAAAAGATAAGAGAAAGAAAAGAGAAAGAAAGAGAAGAAGAAGAGAAAGAGAGAGAAGAGAGGAAAGAGGAGAAAGAAAGATGTAGAAAGGAGGAGAGAGAGTGGAAAGAGACAGAAAGAGAGCAAAAGTTGTTTCCTTGGGGTGGAAATTTGTCTCCAAAACTAACACATAAGAACACATGTTGTAAATCTTGCAAACAAGGCCAGCCAGGGAAGCTTACAGCACTTCGCCAGTAATCTCGCATCTGCTTGACAGTAGGGGGGTTTGCAAGAACTGTAGAGCACAAGTACGCATCACACCTTGAGTATGCTCCAATTCTTGGTTTGCTGTCCCCACCTCCTCATCTGCGACTTGATTGGACAGAGTAGAGAACAGAGCAAGACGTCTCATCTCCTCGCCTGGTCCCATCCTGGATGGATCTGTCATTTCGCTGAGCCTTCAAACATAGGAGGGTTATGTGGTTGGGCCTTACTGTTATGTACAAGGCCAATAATTGTCAAAATACCACACTTGGTTACACTTCGAGGAAGGCGAAACAGCTTTTTTATGCCACAAGAACGCGGCAGAAATCGCAGATCTTCACTATTGGCTGTACCACTTCTCCAGAATATAACTCCATTGAGATCATACTTTACCCAGGATGGACTCGCAGTATATGGACACATTCGTTTAAGCATATTGATGTCAACGAGATTAACGTCAGTTGATCAAATGAATTGCTGGCCCACCAGATGGCTCACAACTTCATTCCTGATCCCTACTTGTATGTCTCATAACAAATAAAAATGCTTTCAAATGAGCTGATGTAGGTATAAGATCTTAGCTTGTCAATATAGTTAGGAATCCTTAACCTGTAATTAGACTTGTCAATAAAGCCTAGGGATCCTGTACCTTGTTTCCTAACCATGTGTAAAAAAAAAAAAAAAAAAAAAAAAAAAAAAAAAAAAAAAAAAAAAAGAGAGAGAGAAAAGAAAGAGGAGAAATAGCGATGAGAAAGAGAAGAGAGAAAAAGAGAGGAGAGAGAGAGAGAGGAGAAAGAGAGAGAGAGAGAAAGAAGAAAGAAGGAAGAAAGAGAGATGAGAAAGAGAAAGAAAGAGAAAGAGAATGGGGAAAGAGGAAGAGAAAGAGGGAGAAAGAGGGAAAGAGGAAAGAGAAAGAGAAAGAGAAAGAGTAAGAGAAAGAGAAAGAGGAAAGAGAAAGAAGGAAAGGAGAAAAGAGGAAGAAGAGAAAGGAAAGAGGTAGAGAGAAGAAAGAGATGAAGAGAAGAAAAGAGAGAGAGGAGAGAGAGTGAGAGGAGAGAGAGAGAGAGAGGGAGTGAGGAGAGAGAGAGGAGAGAGAGAGAGAGAGGAAGAGACGAGAGAGAGAGAGAGGAGAGACGAGAGAGGAGGAGAGACGAACGTGAGAGAGAGAGAGCAGAGAGAGAGTGACGAGGGAGAGAGAGAGAGCGAGAGGAGAGAGAGAGAGGGGAGGTGAGTGAGACGAGAGAGAAGAGAGAGGACGAGAGTGAGTGACGAGGACGAGAGAGAGAGAGAGAGAGAGAGAGAGAGAGAGAGAGGGAGAGACGGTGACGGAGAGGAGAGAGAGAGAGAGAGAGAGATGAGAGAGAGAGAGGAGAGAGAGGAGAGATGAGAGAGGAGGAGAGAGAGAGAGGACACGAGAGAGAGAGAGGAGAGAGCTGAGACGAGAGAGAGAGAGTGAGAGAGAGAGAGAGAGAGAGAAAGAGAAAGAGGAAAAGAGGGAAAGAGAAGAGAAGAGAAAATGAGGAAAGAGAAAAAGAGAAAGAGGGAAAGAGGAAAGAGGAAAGAGAAAAAGAGAAAAGAGAAAAAGAGAAAGAGAAAAGAATTGAGAAAGAGAAAGACGAAAGAGAAAGGAGAAAGAGAAAGAGAGGGAAAGAGATAGAGGAGAAGAGAAAGAAAAAGAGATATGTGAAAGTGTGGAGAAAAAGAGAAAGAGAAAGAGAAAGACGACGAGAGAAAGAGAAACGTGGAGTGAGATGAGAAGAGTGAGTGGCGAGAGAAACGAGCAAGAGAGAGACGAGAGAGAGAAGAGAGAGAGGGACAGTTACAGAAGTTGAAAGGGGCCCTGAGGTCCCAGTCTCATCCATGAGGGACCTCGATTCTGCCAAGCAGTGCAGGAGCACAGGAAAACTTGTGCCTACCACTATCCCTTTTACGCCAGTAAAACAGCGCTCAAGGATAGCACACCTCATATTACCGATCCACCTTGGCAGACAAAAAAGAGAGGGCATCAGATACCACAAACAGCATACATACTAGAACCAACAGGCAGGCTCTGGGCTCGTGTTACACAGTCACCTGCCAGACAACCCTGACCACCTCCTGGAAAAATCTGGGACAAGGAGCAGGGCACCTCAGATGATCCAAATTCCAAGGCAAAACTACACCAAATCCGAGGAACCCCCATGGAGAAGATGAACCCAGCACACTTCCCCTACTTAGAACCGTTATACCAGAGGGGAGCGCCTGGGGGGAGAGGGAAAAGGGGGGAGGATTGGGCGGAGGGTATTTAGTTCATTCTGAGGGAAAAGAGACATATGGTTTAATTCCTCAGACCAAGAAGCCTCTTCACTGTGCCAAGGAGCTTCCCTTTTAACTAATGGAACATTTGCTCATACTGTATATTTTATAACAAAAATATAGACAAGGCTGATGCTGTGTTTACCCACCCAATTTGCTGTTAAGGATTATTAAAAATCCATATAGATAAGCTAACAATTTTTTTTTAACATAACATTTAAAGTAGTATATTGCCTTTTGGGCCCGTTATAACTGGCAATAACTATACCTCTGCAATTTTTTTCCCTTTTATATATATAATTCCATTTCTAACCAGTATACCAATTAATGACTTCACTGAAAACTAGAGGGGAAAATTTCTCTGTAAGGAAACGGTACTGATTAATGAAACCAGAGACATAACAATTACCTCATTCAGCCACTGGTAATGATAAAACTAATTGTTCATTAAAATGCATGAAAAGTCGGAATTTAATATTGAATAACAAGTCTTACATAAAAATAAATCTTTTTCTCAAACCTACATAGCAAAAGGTTAAAGGGTACCCCAAGCACCCATGTCTCCCTGTTACCTCTATAAACAAATCTTTATTTCGTATCAAAAAACATTAACTAGACCCCAATGTAGAGAGAAAACGTCCTCTGAGCCAATATTTGAATACAAATCGGCTTTTTTTTCACCCTAAGTTGAGAGAAGAGTTCTGAGCAAATCAGAATATAAGCAGTACTATCTCCTTCATGTTGAAAAAAAAAAGTTCAGAGTAGGAGATATTTTCAGAGTAATACAAACAGCCCTACTCATGGGTGTGTCCAGCTTCAAATGTACAACTTTGAAGAAGCAGTCTTGTCTTAACCATTATTTTTATATCTGAAGTACATAAAACATTAGTCCTGGCGATTCAAATATTGTCACAAGTCTTTGGTAACTTTCTTTTACTACCCATCCAAACTCAGAATCTTTGATGTAATTAATTAGCTTTATCGAAAGTAAAATACAAATTTGCAAATTAAACCAAGGGATGTATATGCTGATTAAAATAAGTTATACAAGGAATTGACAATTTCCTTATTCAAGTACACAACCCTCAGCTAAAATAGCTTTATGTAAATTCTTTAAGAGCTGGAAACCATAGCCAAATTTTCTACATAGCTTTGGTATTAAAAACTATTCTTTCAAAAATATAATCTTACTGTCACCTCTATGATACTCATAAAAGAATAAAATGTAGCTGAATCACATTAGCAAAATCACAAAGTTTTAGTGGCCAGCCATAAAGCATAAATTCCACTTGGTGATACATAAACCTGGCTAAACATTCTTTACTGACAAGGTTCTCAGTGCCAGTTATGCAGCACATCTTTACTGACAAGGTTCTCAGTGCCAGTTATGCAGCACATCTTTACTGACAAGGTTCTCAGTGCCAGTTATGCAGCACATCTTTACTGACAAGGTTCTCAAGGTTAGATATACAGTACAAATGTCACATTCTTTACTAACATGGTTTTCAATGTTAGTCATACAATGTAAGTGCCACTTTTAAACACTTTTTCCAATTTGCATACTTGACCACTACAAGGTGTAGTCATGGTATGACATCTGGTATTTTTAGTAAATAATAAAGGAGAGGCACCATTTGGAAATTGGCTCTTGGGAGCTGGATTGCAAGGAATAATGAGCAGAGAAGATATTTGATCATTAAAATTGTTGGTAGAGGTGATAGGGATGCTGGAATTGTTGGTTGACTGGGTAGAGGAGACTTCAGTCGAGTAATCTGGAAATGTGGAGGGAGATGACCCTACCAACTCTGATGATGGCCATGGGCATTGATGCCATCTATTTCAAGACAGAAGGGCACGAATTTCCTTATGGACATGACACAGGAAGTCAACGTAACTTGGGGCACCGTATAAACTCTTGTCCTCTACTAAGTAGTTCCTCATCACAACTTCATGTTTGCTTTGCTGTGGAACTACAAACATCTGCAAGGATAAATAAACAACATTAATGATTGATCATGGAAATGTAGTCAGTTGGCCTACTGTCACTCATGACTACTACCGAGGAAAACAGCAAAGGATGCCTATCCCACTATCATAATTATATTAAATATTATATTTATACATTACTCCCATTATAGGTAGTAGGTTGGTAGGCAGCAACCACCCAGGGAGGTACTACCGTCCTGCATAGTGAGTAAAACAAAAGCCTGTAACTGTTTTACATGATGGTAAGATGCTGGTGTCTTTTTTCTGTCTCAAACATGCAAGATTTCAGGTACATCTTGCTACTTCTACTTACACTTAGGTCACACTACACATACATGTACAAGTATATACTCACCACTCTGGGTTTTCTTCTATTTTCTTTCTAGTTCTTGTTTATTTCCTCTTATCTCCATGGGGAAGTGGAACAGAATTCTTCCTCTGTAAGCCATGTGTGTTGTAAGAGGCGACTAAAATGCCAGGAGCAAGGGCCTAGTAACCCCTTCTCCTGTATAAATTACTAAATTTAAAAAGAGAAACTTTCGTTTTTCTTTTTGGGCCACCCTGCCTTGGTGGGATATGGCCGGTTTGTCGAAAAAAAAAATCACTCCCATCTCACTAGATCTTTTAATAAAAATAATGTCCTAACAAGCAACATTCATTGCTTTTCCAACTTGCAAGTCATTTGTATGGAAAGCGTAGTAGTGAGAATGGTTGTTTCACGTATGTTTGTACTGTGACTAACTTCACACGATCACTTCGTGAGCAGAGACTTTTCCAAATGGATATCCTGCAAGAATTATTCTTAAACTTTTATAAAATTGGGAGATCCTGTCATATGGTTGCAGAAGTTAGTAGATTTAGACTGGAAAGTTGTGTGGTTCAAGTGACTAGAGTGAATCACACATATTAGGAATACAGTACTTACACAAGAGCAAGGCACAGACTAGGGTAAGAAAGTGGAAAGTTTCCAATAAGATTGTCTCTGACAAGGATGTTACATAATTATGTCTGGAAAATTTCCAAAATGTCAAGTGTTATAAAATTATTGTGCATTTTATGTGTACAGTGGACCCCCAGTTATCAGCCGCTTCTGTTATCAGCCAACTCGTGACACCCGGGTTTTTTCAGCGCCCGGTTATCAGCCGTTTGGGAAAGTTCTGTCAGCCACTAGGCCACTTCTGTCATTTTTTGGAGTGTCTTTTGGGGTGAGGAAGCTTCGCTCATACATCCAAACATTTCACATGTTTCCATTGTTTTTGGGGTTTTTTGCAGTGCAGCGTGAAATGAGTCCATGGCTCAAAGAAAATTCCCAGTAAAGTTCCTGGAAAGAAAATGAGAAAACCATGGAAAATTTTAAAAGCAGCGGAGGTCAGGCATGCGGAGTGTACAGGCATGAAGGGAAAGTGGGGGGACAGGCATGGGGTGAGCAGGGATGCAGGGAGTGTTTAACCAGGCCCGCAGGGATGTAGCAGGCAGCAGGGAGTGTAAGGGATGCAGGGGGTGTAACGGCTGCAGGAGTGTACAGGCATGCGGGAGTTAAAAGGGTGCAGGGAGTGTACAGGGATGCAGGGAGTGACAGGCATCGGGAGTGTAACAGGCATCAGGGGGGTGTAGCAGCATGCAGGGAGTGTAACGGCATGCAGGGATGAAAAGGCAGCAGGGATGAAAAGATGCGGATGTACAGGCTCGGGAGGAAAGGCAGCGGGAGTTTTAAAAGGTCAGGGGGTGTACAGCATGCAGGGAGTTAACAGGGGATGGGGAGGATTGTACAGCATGCAGGGGGGTGAAAACCGGGCAAAAGCAGGGAGTAACAGCAGCAGGGGGTTTAAAAAAAGGGATGCAGGGATGTACGGCATGCAGGGAGTGTACCGCAGCAGGGAGTGTAACAGGGGATGCAGGGGTGTAACGGCCTGCAGGGGGGTGTACCGGCATGCCGGGAGGTAAAGCAGCGGAGTGTAGCAGCAAGGGATGAGCAGGGATGCAGGGAGTGTAAGGGATGCAGGATGTACAGGCATCAGGGAGTGAAAAGGCATGCAGGGAGTTAAAAAAAAGGGACAGGGATGCAGGGGGTGTAGGCCGAATGGGCAGGGGGGTGTAACAGGCATGCAGGAGTGTAAAGGCATGCAGGGAGGTAACAGGCATCAGGGGGTGAGCAGGCAGCAGGGAGTGTAAGGCATGCAGGGATGTAGAGGCATGCGGGAGTTAACAGCAGCAGGAGTGTAAAAGGGTCAAAGTAAAGGCTTTCCCCAATGTAGCAACATTTTAATTTTTAAAAAAATTTTCGGAAAAGTTAACGTTAATGCAATTACATTAATTCTTATGGAAAATATTTCGATTTTCAGGCATTTCTGTTTTAGGCTGAGCTTTTGGAACGGATTATGGCCAATAACCGAGGGTCCACTGTAGTATTTATGTACTCTGATAATTGTGTTTATTTGTAGCTGTACCTAAATAAGCTGACTGTGCTGGCGTGCAGGTAGTGCTGGCATGGAGGTACATATGAAAACCACCGTCTCACTAGTACTGAAGACAATAATAATAACTACTCTGGGACACTTTAAATGTCATTATGTTATAGACATTTTCAGTAATCCATTTATATTTTTTCAAAACTGTACAAGAAACATGCTACACATTATAAACATAATAAAAACATAGTAGAACAAATTGAAAAATATAATAGGTGGTTGCCAGGCAGCTTCTAGGAGCAATGACAAGAATTCTGTTTTTTCTAGTTCAAAACCAGACTAAGTTGTGTACAGTAAAGCTTTACTGTAGAAAATAAAAATATTCCTGTCGTGTGCCTTCCCTCATAACATCATTCTCTCTAAAAGTGGTGTTGCATGAGAATAGCAGAGTTGCTGTTATTTATTCTATGGCACCAACAAGAAGACAACTTGTAGACAATTTAAGGTGTTTGTATTGTGGGGATAAAGCTTCACAAATGCATGCATTATGCAAAATGAACGCATATGAACTGCGTTCATCAGACCACCTACCACCCACTCTCTCTCAGTTTGTTTACATTCTCTACGTCTCTCGTTCTTCAGGCCATCTAAGGGTAGTTGTGATAAAGTAGTCGTAAGCTCAAGATCTTACTTTAAATGCCAAGTTAAAAATGATTAAACTCGGTGAACAAGATATGTCGATGGCTATAAGCACAATAATAATAATAATAATAATAATAATAATAATAAAAAATATCTATATATACATATCTATATCTATATATCTATATCTATATATATCTATATATATCTATCTATATCTATATATATCTATCTATATCTATATATATCTATATATATATATATATATATATTTTTCTTTATTATTATTATCACACTGGCCGATTCCCACCAACCCAGGGTGGCCCGAAAAAGAAAAACTTTCACCATCATTCACTTCATCACTGTCTTACCAGAAGGGTGCTTTACACTACAGTTTTTAAACTACAACATTAACACCCCTCCTTCAGAGTGCAGGCACTGTACTTCCCATCTCCAGGGCTCAAGTCCGGCCTGCCGGTTTCCCTGAACCCCTTCATAAATGTTACTTTGCTCACACTCCAACAGCACGTCAAGTATTAAAAACCATTTGTCTCCATTCGCTCCTATCAAACACGCTCACGCATGCCTGCTGGAAGTCCAAGCCCCTCGCACACAAAACCTCCTTTACCCCCTCCCTCCAACCTTTCCTAGGCTGACCCCTACCCCGCCTGCCTTCCACTACAGACTGATACACTCTTGAAGTCACTCTGTTTTGCTCCATTCTCTCTACATGTCCGAACCACCCCAACAACCCTTCCTCAGCCCTCTGGACAACAGTTTTGGTAATCCCGCACCTCCTCCTAACTTTCAAACTGCGAATTCTCTGCATTATATTCACACCACACATTGCCCTCAGACATGACATCTCCACTGCCTCCAGCCTTCTCCTTGCTGCAACATTCATCACCCATGCTTCACACCCATATAAGAGCGTTGGTAAAACTATACTCTCATACATTCCCCTCTTTGCCTCCAAGGACAAAGTTCTTTGTCTCCACAGACTCCTAAGTGCACCACTCACTCTTTTCCCTCCATCAATTCATAGACCCATCCGCTGACACGTCCACTCCCAAATATCTCAATACATTCACCTCCTCCAAACTCTCATCCTCCAATCTGATATCCAATCTTTCATCACCTAATCTTTTTGTCATCCTCATAACCTTACTCTTTCCTGTATTCACTTTTAATTTTCTTCTTTTGCACACCTTACCAAATTCATCCACCAATCTCTGCAACTTCTCTTCAGAATCTCCCAAGAGCACATGTCATCAGCAAAGAGCAACTGTGACAACTCCCACTTTGTGTGATTCTTTATCTTTTAAAACTCCACGCCTCTTGACAAGACCCTCGCATTTACTTCTCTTACAACCCCATCTATAAATATATTAAACAACCATGGTGACATCACACATCCTTGTCTAAGGCCTACTTTTACTGGGAAATAATTTCCCTCTTTCCTATGTACTCTAACTTGAGCCTCGCTATCCTCGTAAAAACTCTTCGCTGCTTTCAGTAACCTACCTCCTACACCATACACCTGCAACATCTGCCACATTGCCCCCCCTATCCACCCTGTCATACGCCTTCTCCAAATCCATAAATGCCACAGACCTCTTTAGCCTTATCTAAATACTGTTCACTTACATGTTTCACTGTCAACACCTGGTCCACACACCCCCTACCTTTCCTAAAGCCTCCTTGTTCATCTGCTATCCTATTCTCCATCTTACTCTTAATTCTTTCAATAATAACTCTACCATACACTTTACCAGGTATACTCAACAGACTTATCCCCCTATAATTTTTGCACTCTCTTTTGTCACCTTTGCCTTTATACAAAGGAACTATGCATGCTCTCTGCCAATCCCTAGGTACCTTACCCTCTTCCATACATTTATTAAATAATTGAACCAACCACTCCAAAACTATATCCCCACCTGC